TTAAGAATACGTTATGCTGTTAGAAATGGATGTTGGTCAAGCTCCCACACTTAAATTAATTGCAAGTACATGAAAACAGCAAAATGTATCCACCCTGTCATGGACAAAATTCAAAGATTTAATACGTTGTAATTACATAGTGATTATAAAATGTACATTTTCTGAAAGCTATAGTCCCTTTCTCAACAATATATTTCAGTTAATGGAACAAGTATTTGGATAATAATGAAATGATGGCAAACAATTTGTACCATGTCCACCCTGTCATGGAAGGCTTGCTGACAGGGTGGACAATGGTACAAATAGTTTGCCTTAATTTCATTTGTATCCAAATACTTTTTATATTATTTATGGAAGGCTTGCTGACAGGGTGGACAATGACAGGGTGGACATTTTTGGCTAATATTAGCATCTAATGAGCACATGGTGGACCTTCAGTTAGCAACATGATTCAGTTAACAAGGTGACTGTGTACTGTTTAACAAATATATTTCGAATTTCTGAAAGGTTTTTATATTAATTGACATTTCACTATGACAGAGTGGACATGTTAAGCTTGACAACATCCAACTACACACATAATATGATTAAAATGTCGAAATATAAGTTAAAAAACGTACTTTGCAACTTTTTTTGTAGTATGATTTAACCACTTATTACACACATTGCATTACATTGTAGTTAGCAGAGCAGTGTGTGGGACATGCCAAAATCACGTACATCCAATGAAAAAATAAGGTGTAAAATGAAGGAAACACATTTCAAGAGACGTATCATTGTACTGATATGTGTGTAAATGTTTGGTCTTTTATAATAAGACCTCAGAGTTTCATTATTCTGCTACATTTTCATGATAACTGAGTGATTCTGATGGGGACACCAAAGTTACTTTATAGTGATAATGACCCAGCTAAAAACACACGTTATTACATTTACTTAGGTTTTCTGAGTGCAATTTGTTACCTCGATTTTCCTAAGTAAATCTTACTCCCCGTTTTTTTCAGTGTAGAGTGTTTTAGCTCCATCTTCCAACAGGATATTCAAATGTTGTTTTAATGATTCAGACTACACTCACACCACTCACTCCCAGCACATTACCTGTAGACTCCACTGCTCTACAGAAATGTTTACATTAGAAATCAGGCTGATGCTAGTTTGGCCTAGATTAGTGCAGCTTAACCTTAAGTTATCCCTGTTGACATTTGAGTTCTCCTTTGATTCTCTACATGTAAAGAGTTTTGATCACTCATTCAAACACCTGCTCACTGCCTCTTTCATTAATGTATGGGAAGATCAAAATAATGATTTGTTGGGTCCTTTGCTTTATTTTACTGTTCAGGCTCACATTCATTCTAAATCTTAACCAAAATGGATTCTACCTTTGTTCTAGTTTAAGAAAAATCCAATAAAGAAAATAATGAAATGAATTCCTCTTGCAACCAGTGAGCAGCTCATCAATGTGCATTAAATGTGACTGGAAAAGGAGAAAGCTATCACTGTTTCTAAAAGCCTTATTCATAAGCCAATGACTCTTTTTGACAGGCAGGCTGTGTTATTCCCTTGAGTATTCATCTCCCAGTGAAACTGCCACGAGGCAAAGAAAAGAGACAATCTGGATGAGAATATAACAACTACCTTAGACTGCTACTGTCTGGATACGCGCTTAACAATTTGGAGACTTGCAGTATGAGTTCAACAGTCCCTGAACTACCTTCCTGACATGAAGCAGGCAGTGAATGCCATTGTTAAGGTGCTACTTTGTTAGTGTGTCCGTCTGTATTGGAGATAAACGTTTCAGAAGCACATAACGCAACTGTCCAACTGGAAAAACTCAAACCTTAAAGGTCCCATGACATGGCCATTTCTACTGATCATAATTCCATTGTTGAGGTCTACTAGAATAGATTTACATTCTTCAATGTTCCAAAATCACATTGGTTTTCTCATACAGCATCTCTGTATAGTATGTGCATTCACTCTCTGTCCTACACGCCTTGTTGGAGCTCCTGCCCCCCCCCCTCCCTGTGAGCCCACTGTGCTCTGATTGGTCAGCTCGCCCACTCTGTTCTGATTAGTCAATCACCATTACAGCGGAACATCAGTGTTTATGTTTTACAATGGCGTGTGCTAGCAACCAGAAAATGACACCAGTAAGGATAAACAGATGAGAATGCTGCGTGGGGTCTGGGTGCCGTGTTGGCGGGACGTTGCAGGGCTCGCTGCTCCGCCCTTTGAGGCTCGAGGAGCGGACAGTGTGAGCTGGATTACTGGTGTCATTTCCTGGTTGCTGCGCCTGAGCTCAGGAGTGAGTTTGTGTGTGTGCGGAGCTCCGCAGAGCTCAGGCTGAGTGAGTGTGTGTGCGGATTGGTCCATTTGGACTTAGTGACGTCAACCTGCCCCGGAAGAAGAAAATGGAAAAAGAAAAATCTCCAACGAGGCGTTCTGGGGCAGCATAGACAGGTCTTTTCTGTGTTAGAGTTTTACTCGCTACAGGGTGTACTTTGAGGGTTTGTGACTTTGCAGACCGTTTACATGCAGAAAAAGCTACGTAAAACACACAAGGGGACGGGTAATAACCAGAAAAGCATATGATGGGACCTTTAATACCGTATTTTGAATAATCATTTTTGAAGAATTCTTACCAGGACTACCGCCAGCTCTTTTCAGAAATCTCATGTAATGAAAAGAGTGCAACTTAATGGAATTCAAGCAATCGTCAGTATCACACATGCTAGCACGGTATCTTGTTAGTGGTTGTGCTAGCTGTGTTTCTTGGACTGAATTTGTTCATAACCGCAAACAAATTGTCCAACATAGGAAAAAGCTTACTTGGTCAAAACTGATGAAAGCGATTTGATATCAGCTTTTCTTGTTGTTTACTTTTGTTCATATTTTACACATTGTTACATATATCTTATTGCAATACTGTTGTGTCCCCTAAAACTACACTGAACAAAAATATAAATGCAACACTTTTGTTTTTGCTCCCATTTTTCATGAGATGAACTCAAAGATCTAAAACATTTTCTATATACACAAAATAACCATTTCTCTCAAATATTGTTCACAAATCTGAAAAAATCTGTGATAGTGAGCACTTCTCCTTTGCCGAGATAATCCATCCCACCTCACAGGTGTGGCATATCAAGATGCTGATTAGCCAGCATGATTATTGCACAGGTGTGCCTTAGGCTGGCCACAATAAAAGGCCACTCTGAAACGTGCAGTTTTATCACACAGCACAATGCCACAGATGTCGCAAGTTTTGAGGTAGCGTGCAATTGGCATGCTGACAGCAGGAATGTCCACCAGAGCTGTTGCCCGTGAATTGAATGTTCATTTCTCTACCATAAGCCGTCTCCAAAGGCGTTTCAGAGAATTTGGCAGTACATCCAACCGGCCTCACAACCGCAGACCACGTGTAACCACACCAGCCCAGGACCTCCACATCCAGCATGTTCACCTCCAAGATCGTCTGAGACTAGCCACTCGGACAGCTGCTGCAACAATCGGTTTGCATAACCAAATAATTTTTGCACAAACTGTCAGAAAACGTCTCAGGGAAGCTCATCTGCATGCTCGTCGTCCTCATCGGGGTCTCGACCTGACTCCGGTTCGTCGTCGTCACCGACTTGAGTGGGCAAATGCTCACATTCAATGGCGTCTGGCACGTTGGAGAGGTGTTCTCTTCACGGATGAATCCCGGTTTTCACTGTTCAGGGCAGATGGCAGACAGCGTGTGTGGCCTCGTGTGGGTGAGCGGTTTTCTGATGCCAATGTTGTGAATCGAGTGGCCCATTGTGGTGGTGGGGTTATGGTATGGGCAGGCGCATGTTATGGACGACGAACACAGGTGCATTTTATTGATGGCATTGTGAATGCACAGAGATACCGTGACGAGATCCTGAGGCCCATTGTTGTGCCATTCATCCACGACCATCACCTCATGTTGCAGCATGATAATGCACGGCCCCATGTTGCAAGGATCTGTACACAATTCCTGGAGGCTGAAAACATCCCAGTTCTTGCATGGCCAGCATACTCACCGGACATGTCACCCATTGAGCATGTTTGGGATGCTCTGGATCGGCGTATACGACAGCGTGTTCCAGTTCCTGCCAATATCCAACAACTTCGCACAGCCATTGAAGAAGAGTGGACCAACATTCCACAGGCCACAATCAACAACCTGATCAACTCTATGCGAAGGAGATGTGTTGCACTGCGTGAGGCAAATGGTGATCACACCAGATACTGACTGGTTTTCGGACCCCCCCAGACCCCCCCAATAAAGCAAAACTGCACGTTTCAGAGTGGCCTTTTATTGTGGCCAGCCTAAGGCACACCTGTGCAATAATCATGCTGTCTAATCAGCATCTTGATATGCCACACCTGTGAGGTGAGATGGATTATCTCGGCAAAGGAGAAGTGCTCACTATCACAGATTTTTTCAGATTTGAGAACAATATTTGAGAGAAATGGTTATTTTGTGTATATAGAAAATGTTTTAGATCTTTGAGTTCATCTCATGAAAAATGGGAGCAAAAACAAAAGTGTTGCATTTATATTTTTGTTCAGTGTAATAATTGTGATTGTTTACTGGATATCTCAAGAAAAAAGACTGGAGACAGGCGCTTACGTTTCCGTGTGTTTAATTGCAAGAACACCACAGTCATCCAAAACAGTCCCTTTACACAGTCACATATCTATAGCATAACCTTACACCATTCCCTTACTGACTTTGATATATTCTTTGCACAGTATGTCTCCTAATGTATTCATGTAGGTTTTATTATGATACTTCTTTGCTCTCTAAATCTGGGTTTGTTCCAGTTCTTGGAAACACAGCAGTGGTTTAGTACACAATGCTGTACCCATATACACATGGTTACTCAACACCACTCAATACAAGATATAAGACATACATTAATATACTATAATGCCTACCTGATTGCCCTAATGTAATCATGGGTTCATATTCTCTCTATGTCTCATTGCAGGAAAGCGGCTCCATCTATCTCCAGTTCACCTGCTCCACCGCCCTTCAGCTGGAGGTCATATTCGAGGTGCTTGAAGAGTACGACTGGACCTCCTTCTCTGTGGTGACCACCCGTCACCATGGCTACGAGGACTTCCTGGCCATGGTGGAGGGTATGACAGATGGTTCATTCATTGGCTGGGAAAAGAAGAGTGTGGTTATTCTTAACGTGACGGACGACCCTGGCGGAGCCCGAATTAAAAGACTGCTCAAAGACAATGAAGCCCAGGTGAGTCAAATGTCATTGCTGGACACAAGTATCAAAAGGGGAATCATGTAATTACATTTTTCTACAAGCTGCAATATTCCATTTTAAACCTGAGAAAATCACAATGCCTTTCCCTTATCTTGATAAGCTGTCTACCTTGAAATGACTTCCTCTGTAGCCGGAGGCTAAGTCACATCTGTGAAGGTTCCACAAGCATACAGAAGCAGATGGTGAACACAGTCAATTTGTAGTTTAAAAAATACCTTGTTCTCCATTATCACTGTCACCTACTGATTTCAGCTGCTAAGTTCACCTTGAAAGTCACAACTTGTTTAATGTGTTTCCATAAAAGAGGATGTGATACACAATCTAAAGTTGAAAGTTTCCTAACATTGTTCAAAGTACATTTTGTGGATATGTGTTCTACTCACTGTTTCTTACAGCACAAAATGTCATTGTTCAAACATTATTCCATGCCAAATTATAAATATAGGTTTTTTGAACTCGTTAACAGTAAAGTACTCTTTTGCGTTTCCTGCTGTGTGCTGTAACAGAGAAATACATAATACAATTTCAGTTGGACTCCCAAAACTCATTGCCAGGTTAATCAACTTTGTCGTATCAATATAGTTGCAGTGCTGCGTTTGCAGCTGAAAAATAATAGGTTACTTCTTCAGGCATTGCAGCCAGAGGAAAGGTTTTGAAGAAAGCAATAACATCTCACCATTCAAAATTGGCTTACAGTAAAAGCCTTATTAAGGGGAGGTTGACGGAGGACACGGTATTAATTTACGCTGGTGTCCTGGGGGACCACTTACACACCCACACACACTACCGCACACACCTGGGAGCTTTGTACTGTAGCAGCACAGGCACGCAGCATATTGTTTACAAACTGATGCATTATGTTGTATTTGAAATAATTATAGGCCTCTGTCATACAGTTACACACTGTTTTTGTACACAGTGATGGCATATTGATCATAACATTTGTTTAAGACGTCTCCAAAATCACTGTATGGCAACACATATTTCCATATGTTTCGTCTGGTTATTTGAAATGAGTATTTGATGTATGATCTTTTAATTTTATTCAGTGATGCTTTATAGCATAATATATACATATCCTTTGTCTTCAAACGTTTTGTATCATTACGTTGTTAAGCTTGATTGCTGGCAACCCAGGTTATTTATAGATTTAAATTATGATTTCAACTAACCATTTCTGGCTAAGATAAATGACATAATACACTTGCAATTACATATTAACTTGACAAGGTATGGCAAGAAACAAAAGCAACACAACCGAACCACACTCAGGTGTTCCCAGTCGCTCTGATGATCACCTGCAGAGTGCACACACAGGTGAATCACATCACACAAGATGACACTGCGAGCATCCTCAGATTTTTTCTTTGGGCATGATTGCTGTGAAACATAAAAGCTGCAGACAAACAACCTGCTTCAGAAGAAATGAACATTATCAGCAGAATGGCCATCATCAGAGAGGTGATAGGTACGAAAGAGTTTCTGGGTTTCGCAGGATCTTTGTGCAAGAGCAATATGTCCTTTCTCTCAGTCTTACAAATCTCTCCTGCCCACCGTATCCTTGTTATTCTTTTTCATTCCTTGCTCTGATCATTTTCACTATTGTAAATGTAAGTGACCTTTGTCACAATGAAGTCCATGAAAGGAAGAAAGAAAAGGAGAATGGACCAAAATAAAAAGGGCTGGATTGAATATGACGTAACGTATTGAAAGTGATATGAAATGTTGAATCGGGAGGGAGTGAATTAAATATGTGCTGGTCTTTAGATGTGGAGAAATGTACATTTAGATGTCTTTTTTCATGAAGATGTTATAGCGGATGGGGTTATGCATTTGTTTGCCATGATGGCTGCATTGCATTGCATTTTAGTGGGGCAGTCGGAGGGCTTTGTCATAGTGCTTTCTCATGTATTGACATGACTTACTGTGATACTGAATGAAACCATCACCTGTACGTTAGTAGAAATAAGCAAATCTTGCCATGATAACGCACAGGTTGTGATCGTGGTGGAAATCTCTTCTTCTTAAAATTAGCATATTAGCATTGATATTGTGAGTATGCTGTAATGTTGTGGTTAGCATGCTCAATTTAGCATTCTTGCTCAATGGTCCATGGCTGCAGACTCCGAGGGGCCAATAAGTGTGCGCCGAAACTTGCACACTAATGTAGTTTTTCTTTGCAAATGGACCAGATTGCAGTCCATCTCCCAAAGAGCAGCGCTAACTGCCACCAGCAGTTACAGTAAAATGAGAAAGGAGAGTTGGTGGCATCTATAAAAGGTGTCCACTCAAAATCATTTATTTTTGAATGCAGTGACAGGATGCAATGACCGTTGTGTCATGAAAAATAGATGAATAAAGCTCCCCTACTTGTCACTTTTCAAAGTGCATTAAGAAAAAAATGAGGAAAGAATTGATGAAAAATATGGTTATGATAGAAAAAACGAAATACATACTCACTCTCGCTCTTTTCCAAAAGCTCTTGGCTTACGTTATCCTTTTCCAATCTCCTAATTGCCCATGGCAGGTTTGGATGGAGGTGGCACTCTGGTTAGCACCCCCTGAAAAAAACCTCCAGCTTCAGCTGACTCACTCTTAGCAACTGACAAATTGGCCGTAAGCACATACTCTGCCACATGGATAATTGCAATCAGATGCAAAAAACAAAAAAGGTAGATTGCACTCAGTTGCAAGACTTAATGGCGCTTGGATATCAGTAGGGCAATATCGTTTTTGAACCGGACAAAGACAAGGCAGATACGGGGTCAAATGATTCACAACTCATGGTGCAATCAGCGTCCACAATCTACAACGTTTTAAATTAGGTTGCATTTTAATGATGTTGAAGTTAAATGTAATCGCAATGCCATTAATGGTTTAATGGCAAGTAAAGAAAGACTACAAATCTTTCTTTAAACCTGATATTTCTGCCTCTGGATTTAAAGGTTGTTTTACATTTTAAGCATGCTGTGGCCTTACAGATTTCATATTTTTAAACACATTGATTGTTCATAAAAGTCCAACATGAACGAGAAATGTCAGGTGGTTCTCCAAACTACCTTAACATGCTGGTGTGCTTGCTGAACTATAATTAAATGTCCACCTCTAAAAAGGTCCACTTCAGGGAAAGTTTCTGGAAATTCTCCAGGAACGTGTTTTTTACTTATTTATCTTTGTCACTGGAACTTTGCCATCTGGGTATCGTGTTCTTCAAATGGAGGGTCAGTATTACATTACATTACATTGCATTTAGCTGACGCTTTTATCCAAAGCGACTTACAATAAGTGCGTTCGACCAACAAAATACAAACTTGAAGAAAACAGAATCATATAAGTACATCAGGTTTCATAGAGCCAAACATTTCAAGTGCTACTCAACTGGCTTTAGGTAAGCCAGTCCTTTATTAGTATAAAAGTGCTTCGTTAATAGTTCTATCGCTCGAAGTGGAGTCGAAAGAGATGAGTTTTCAGTTTGCGCCGGAAGATATGCAAGCTATCTGCTGTCCTGATGTCAATGGGGAGCTCATTCCACCATCCTGGAGCCAGGACAGCAAACCCACGTGTTTTCGCCGATGGAAACTTGGGTCCCCCTCGCAGAGAGGGTGCAGCGAGTCGTTTGGCTGATGCAGAGCGTAGTGCACGCGCTAGGGTGTACGGTTTAACCATGTCCTGGATGTACGAAGGGCCAGATCCATTCGCAGCATGGTAAGCAAGTACCAGTGTCTTGAAGTGGATTCTAGCAGTTACCGGAAGCCAGTGAAGGGAGCGGAGGAGCGGAGTGGTGTGGGAACATTTAGGAAGGTTGAAGACCAGACGAGCCGCTGCATGCTGGATGAGCTGCAGAGGTCGGATGGCACATGCAGGTAGACCAGCCAGGAGGGAGTTGCATTAGTCTAGGCGTGAGATGACGAGAGCCTGGACCAGAACCTGAGTCGCTTTCTGTGTCAGCTGGGGACGTATCTTCCTGATGTTGTAAAGCGTGTATCTGCAGCAACGGGTTGTAGCAGCGATGTTTGCAGTGAAGGACAGATTGTTATCTAGGGTCACACCCAGATTCCTTGCAGTCTGAGTCGGGGAAACAACTGAGGTGCCGATGTTGATTGTTAGGTCAAGAGTGGGACAATCTTTTCCCGGAAGGAAGAGCAGTTCAGTCTTGTCAAGGTTGAGCTTGAGGTGATGAGCAGACATCCACTGAGAGATGTCAGCTAGACAAGCAGAGATGCGTGCGACGACCTGGGTCTCTGAGCGGGGAAAGGACAGAATTAATTGGGTGTCGTCAGCGTAGCAGTGGTAAGAAAAACCATGCGGGCTAATGACTGATCCGAGCAAGTTTGTGTACAGGGAGAAGAGGAGGGGACCAAGAACAGAGCCCTGAGGGACCCCTGTAGTTAATTGACAAGGGTCGGACTCAGACCCTCTCCAAGTCACCCTGTAGGTACGGTCTTTCAGGTATGAGGTGAGGAGGGAAAGTGCAGAGCCTGAAACTCCAAGTTTTTGGAGAGTGCGAAGGAGGATCTGATGATTCACCGTGTCGAATGCAGCAGACAGGTCCAACAGGATGATGTCAGTGGAGAGGGATGCAGTTTTGGCAGTGTGCAGTTCCTCCGTGACAGCAATGAGAGCAGTTTCTGTGGAGTGACCTGCCTTGAAACCAGACTGGTGCGGATCCAGAAGGTTGTTCTGATTGAGATAACAGGACAGTTGTTTAAAGACAGCGCGTTCAAGTGATTTAGACAGGAACGGGAGGAGAGAGACAGGCCTGTAGTTTATAACATCAGACGGGTTGAGAGTGGGTTTCTTTAGGAGAGGGTTTACTCTTGCCTCCTTGAGACTGTTTGGAAAGTGACCAGAAGTTAGAGAAGTGTTGATGAAATGGGTGAGAAACGGTAGAATATCAGGAGCGATAGTCTGAAGGAGGTTTGAAGGGATAGGGTCCAGAGGACAGGTGGTAGGGCGGGCAGAGGTAATGAGGG